GCAATTATTGGTATTTGTGGGTTAGAAGAAAAAGATCAGTCGTAATCATAACAATTCTATTTTATTATTCTCTCACTTAAATTAACAACCCAGGGTAGGATATACACACTTCTACTAAGTACAGGAGCAGTTATACGGCAGAAAGGATCTTAATATATGAAATATAATTCAATTAATTTAATCTTGGAACGATTTGGATGTCAACGGCCTAAATTACCGTAATTCCGTTCTCAGTTGTTCGACTTCCGGTCATTATTATTCAATTCTAACTTATAGACTAAATCGTCAGTTAACAATCTTTGATCAATCAGAAATTAATCGTCTAGCATATATATAACTCTCGACTAGCTCTCAAATACTTTTCACTAATTACTAACCACCAACTAACTTCTAGCCTCGCGTACCTAAAAGTTAATGCTTAAATATATCTCTTCATTTGCATAAACCGTGTCTTCTTCTTCAGGAGAAAGTTTTCAATAGAACAACATTTAAAAGAAAATAGATTTACCCCAAAAGGATTAGTGAAGGTTCGCGGATAGACCCGTTGCAAGGTGATACCAATCCCCGGAACACAACTCATTGAACATCCAAAAAAATAAAAGAGAATGGCCATCGTTATAACATTTGACTTCCCTAGTCTTGCTTTTTTTGTTCAAGAGGAGTTGGGGGACTTCTACTGGCTAGAACTTTCCTTGGTATTGGCCTCATATCGATAACACGAACTCTCATCACCTGTATTTAATTACCTTGGCCAAAAAGTTTGGGTCACTTACAATCTGATTTTTTAAATCCAAGCTCAATATATACTATATATACAAACACAGTGTCCTTAGAACACACAAATAAATTATACTGTGAATTCAACACAATAAAATTCTATGCACTTTCCTAAACGTAATTTTTAATAAATGGCACATAATTCTTTTTTACATAAAATGATCCCGCAAAATTTAAAAACCAATTAGTACATATCAAATCTGGGAAAGGTATATTAAACATTTACTTAAATGCTAAAGAGACACGCCTTTAAAAGACACTTAAATGTTTTATCTAATCAAACTTATCTTGCATAGAAATTGCAGAAGCTTCTCACTGTGCCACTCATTTAAAAGTTAAAAGTGTTAAGTAAATAAAACTTCAGAAATATCAAACATGTCAACAATGATAGCAGTGCTCTGACCTTTAATATCAAAAGGGACAGAGATGTCTGGCTAATGGGGTAGAAGCATTTCTATCACGTAATCCCATTGGTCTTTGTAAGCAGATGCAGATTTAGGCACATACCCCTTCTCATTGTGATAGAAAAATTTATCTGCATGCTCCGATTCCACATTCCTTATAAAAAATCTCAGAACGAAAAGCTGATAATTTAACAACTTCTTACAATATGAATAAATGCATTAAAAATGTGTCATATTATTGATAATAAAGTTATTTATGTGCCTTGAACAATTCATTAATATATAAATCTCGGGTGTCCGGAAAATTTTTAAATAAAAAAGAACCTGAAAAAAATTTAAGTGTCTGTTTAATTTGGGACACTAGACATTCTAAATAAATAAACTGAAATAATAAACATTCAATTTAAAATTTTAAAAAACCCTTGAATTAAATTAAATTACTATACGAAATTGAAAAATTAACCAAATTTTTTAAAAAGAGATGGAGAATACACATTTTTTACAAACAATGATTGCGGACAGCTTTTTTAAAAGGTGGAATTTAACCAATTTTTTGACAAGATATCCATCCCCGTTTCTGTTAATGTAACTGAGAGAAATTCTATGGAATATAAAGGATAGAAGTTCAGAACTGTTATTAATAAAAAAAGTTAATAAGACCCACTCCCTTTTTTAACTTCCACATTACGTCAATGTGAGATCCTTGATCCATCTCAAATGTAACATCCATCGACCTCTTTACACGGTGGGACTATATAGGACCAGAAATCGAACCCATTTCTTGACAGAAATAACGTTGATCATGAGTTCAACACCATGACCATATACACTCAGCCTCAAAAAATAAGCAGTGAGTGAGGGAGTGAATATTAACATCGCACTGTTCAGCTACTCGAGGGCTTTTGGCAACGGACCTCATAATTTTGAACTATGGTCAAGTGACGTGGACGAAACCTGAGATGCCATCCCCTCTCCTAACTACCACACCACACCACACCGATGGGAGGACGTTTGAGCTCTCGACAGATTTAACGTGCATCGCCCCCTACACGGCGGGTCTTTAGAGGTACTGGGCTCGAACTCATGACATGCCAGCCACGATCCGATACCTTGACCACTAGGCTACCTCGCCAAAAAGAAAAAAATATATATAATTATAAAAAAAAATAAGCAACAAACAGTATTAGTATAGCTTGAGAGGAAGAAAGGTTATAGAAACAAAATTTGCATATGTTTCTTGCAGTGAAATGCGAAAGTAACTCAGCAGTTATGTATCTGCCTAACCACTTATAGGGCTGCGTAATGCGGTAGATAAAACAAGTAATCTAAAAAAAATTTAAAGTCAATTCCTACTTAGGTAAAAAAAAGAAAAATTTTATTTTAGCTACTTTTTATTAAATAGTTACAATTAATATAAATATGTATATACATACGACAGAATCACAACATTAAAGAGTAATTAATTTTTATTAATTATCATTAAAGTATCGTATTGTCATCCAAGACAATAGTGTATATAAAATTCCAGTTCAACTGAATGCTTTAAAACGTGAGAAAAAAATCTTAAGTTTTGACCCAAGTCGCTAAAAATGAAACTAACTTGGCTGTACCTGTAATTCTTTAAATAACTATTTTTAGTCAATTAATTTTAAATAATTAGAATTAAATTATCGTATTTTTACCCAAAACAATAGTTTGTAGAAAATGCCAGCTCAAATGAGCGCTTTAAAATGTGTTAAAAAAACCTTTTCAAGTTTTGACACGTCGCCAAAATGGTCACTAAGTTGCCAAAAATGATGCCAACGTGGCTGTATTTCTAATTCTTTGAATAATTAGTTTTAATCAATTAATTTTTGTTAATTATAATTAAATTACTGTATTGTCATCCAAAATTATCATGTATATAAAATTTCAGCTCAATTCAGCGCTTTAAAATGTATTTTATTAACGATTGAAAATTCCACCAAGATAAATATATAGATAGTGTAAGCTAATAGTAGGAATTGAAAAACAAGTTCTTTTCAGCAGTAGTTTTTTTCGTTGCACTGTATATTACGTTTATTTGGTGCTTTTGAAAATTCTTATACCCCCCCCAAAAAAAAAAAAACAGTACATTTATTATTTTATTTTTAAAAATAGCATTAGAAATCAAGTTTAAAAATATTCCTTCGGAATATAATTCATATAAACTACAATATATCGCAATTAGTGAAAAAGAAAGAAAAAAGCCTCATAAGATCAAAGCAAAACTACAAATTAAAGTATCTCAAAGCCAACGTAAATTCTAAAAATTTACAAATTCTTCTAAACTTTAATTAAAATCATATTTTACGGATTTATAGCCAGAATGAATTTTAATTAATCACTGATTTCAATCTTGAATTCTTTCTTCAACGTTTTTAACTTCAATTTTTGACAACTTTATATGTAAAATTTTTTAAACATATATTTATACTTTTGTAGAGTACACAGAGGAAAATAATTTATTCCCACTAAAATAATCTGATTGCATAAGTTTTGAATAGATTATTAAGGCATTAAAATTAATATTTATCACAATTTAGATATTTACAAAAATGTAGTAACTTTTCCAAAACAAAAAATATTGGGAGTTTTTTATTAAATTACCTCTGATATAGCTTTTTAATAATCAATTATTTTATTAAAATCAATTAAGAATCAATTATTACAGAAAATGCGCTTATAATTGAATAACGCTTCATTTTTTTTTTTTCAATTGAATAACATTTCATTAACAATTCAAATCAACTTAACACTTCCCGTTTGAAATACGTTTCCTTTAAATTAAAAATTACTTAGAGTTCACCAGTCTTTTGAACTCTAACTCTACCTGTATAATTATTATAATCATTTTATCTAACTAGTCATCTACAAAAATTTAACAAATGAGGAGTAGACCATTGAAATTAGTCTTCACGACTGCCACACGGTGGTTTGCTCGTAAGTTATTACGACAGAAAAAGATTTAGTGAAGCCTGTCAAATAACGCCAATTTAAAATAAATAGAACCTCTAGGGGATTATACAAAAAATTGATTTTGTTCTAGATCGATTATTAGAAACGAGTTTTGGTAATTTTGAACGCAAGTATCTTTTTTCTTAGCACAGAATACATTTGTGCGGCTTCTTTTGATTATAGATATCTAACAATACATCGTGTTATTAGCATGAATGATGAATGATATTTAGGAGCAGGAAAAATAACATATTAGTCCTAGATTTTTAAAAAAGAGAAGCTATAATGTTATATGAAAATTATGAGATAAATATTATTGACTGGTTAATTATAATTTTCCTTAAATATAGTCTCTTAATAACTAATTGGGATTCGATAGAATTTGGGGTATTCTATTTCCTTTTTTTTTTACAACATAAAATGTCACTTTAAAAAAATGTACTGCTACTTTAAACTTGACAAAAAATGACAGGAATAACGGGTTGGTCAAATCAATGAGTCAATGTCGCAGAAACTTTCAGGGAAATTTAGTACAACATTTAATATTTCTTAGATATAAAATTGCTTACAACTTGAATCATTCAATTCCTACTATTAGTTCGCACCTATATATGTTTATTTATTTATATTTATATATCTTGTTCAAATTTTCAATCGTTCATAAAATACTTTCTATTCATCCATTCAAGTTCAAATACATTTTTTAAACTTGTAGTGGATCGCACTTGGTGTTATTACAGTTTTTGCAAATATTAATTCATTGATTAAATTAAAAATGAATAAATAGTAACAAACAAAAATAATAGTCCAACAGCATATATAGAAAGGAAAATTGTTCGTTGTGTTCATGTAGCGCAATGGATAGCGCGTTGGACTTTCCTTCCAGAGGTCATGGGTTCGAGTCCCATCTGGGATAGTCTAATTTCTGAGAATTTGATTTATTTTTTTACTATACTATTTTATCAGAATAATTAAATTTAATTAATGAATAAATAGTAACAAAACCAAAAATAATAGTCCAACACCATATACATAGACAGGAAAATGGAAAATCGCTTTCTATTTTGCCACTTAATGTTGTAATTCTGTTATGTGTACATAAATATTGATGTTAATTGTAATTATTTAATATAAAAAGTAACTAAAATTAAATTTTCTTTTTTTTACCTAAGTAGGAATTGACTTAAAATTTTTTTTTAGATTACTTGTTTTTGCCATCGATTAAGTTTAATCAATCTGTAAGGTTCTATTAATAAAAAAAATATTAGTGTATTTTTTCCAAGTTTTAAAATTTTTAATCGACTTTCAATTACTTAAAATGCCTACATTTGAGTTTTGTTATCAGATATATTTATTTTAAAAATGAATTTACGCTATCTTTATTACATTCGCATTCACTGGCGTACACATACCTCTCTGATGGAGAGGGGGGTGTTACATTCTAAAAAATACCTTAGATGAAAGCGCCGAGAAGTTATCTATGGTAAAAATTAAAAATCTGTTGGTCCATGGGGGAGGGTGAACCCAGTGGCGTAACATACATCCCCGCATTGGCGGGGGAGGTTAGACCCAGGGATTCTAGGGAGCCCAAAGCCTGACTGACGCAAAGTATGTATTTGGTCTTGGGGCTCAAAACTGATTTTTGCAGGGGAGAGGGGCTTAATATTCTCTGTTACGCCACTCGGTGAATCCCCTCCCACCTTATAAACGCCACTGTCTACAATGCAGCACCAAAACAGCACATATGTTTTGAGTTTTGAAATGTATTAGACCAATGTTTTCTGTAGCGCATTTAATGAAGCATAATTACGATTTTCGTATAAATTCAAAAAGTTTTAAACTCAATTTTATCTAATATTTGACCACAAAGAATATTAATCAGAATTCAAAATTTTACTTGTTTTTTGTTGTTGTTTTTTAATATCTGCTACTCAAAATGTGTAACGATTACGATATCAAGAATATCGCACTAAATTTAATGGTAATTTAATTTCATTAAAAAGTTTTGACTGTAATATTCAGAACAACAAACCCCTATAAAATTATTTAAAATATCAATTTAACTTAAAACGTTTCATACATAAGGAAAAATAATATGATAAATTTTCTTTGTATTTAAATTTTCAAAAGTTAATCATTCAAAATAAAGTTCATTTTTAGGATTTCGAATTATATATATATATATATACATATAAAAGTTTTCGGATATGTTGTTCTGTTGCATTTCTTATCTGAAGAATTTTATTAACATTCATCTTTGAAGCATCCCTTTAACAATGCTCAAATTTCCAAATATACTGAGAATTTTCGTAAATAATTTCAAATATAATATCCATTGTTAAACCAAATCATGAAAAAATGAATAATAAACTAATAATTGAATCAAAATATACTTAATAAAAAAATTATTTAAACTAATTCAGAATAAGATGAATAATGCATAAAATTGCGACTAACAACTTAAGCACCCTAAACAATTTTGATTTGAAATATCTCAAAAACTCAAGATGGATAAGTTCTTAGAATTTCTTTTTCTTTTCCCTGCGCTATTGCAGCAGGAAGAACTCCAAACGGAATCCATTCGAAGAAAAGAATTTCTCATGTGCGGTCTACTTTTTCCCTTTCTCCCACGGTACTTACGACGAGGCCTCCGGATTTGATTACAGTGAATGTATTTTCAATTCTAAAAATTATGAATTTTAGCTACCAAACATCGAAAAAAGATAAAAAAAGCTGATGTTCAAGCCCCTATCATTTTAAAAAAAGAAACCAATAGGATATTGATGCATGAATTAAGTTATATGTCTCTTTTGTAAAATTTAAAACACAATCTGTTTCCGTAATTTACCCAAAAAATAATAATTTTAATGACTTTAATACTAATTTATGAAAATAAATAAGGATTCATTTCAAAGAAAAAGAATAATATGTATTTGATGGATTTTAAAGAAGAATTTTTAAGATTCATTTATTTTTGTACAGTAAAATGACAATATAAACCTCAAAAAAGAGCAGAAGTACATATATTATCATTGTTAGGTGTAATCACAAAATCGAAAATCATTCATGGAAACTTTTAACTGTTAATGGACAACCTCAAGAAAAGTATTTGTGAGCTGCAAGGCATTTTTTTAAAGTAGAATTTATTTTTAAAAAACAATTATCTCTTCAAAAAGTTTTATCGCGTTGGATCTTTAATATATTAACAATATGGAGGATTAATTCTAAAAGTAATAATGTCTAATATGCATAATTTTCAATCAACCATTCAACAGAACTCTTTAAAGATAATTGAGTTTTTTCATTGTACTCTTAACATAAATCAAAGTTCAGTCGAAGCATACATTTTTAAAAATTACAACTACCTATCTAACATCAAAAACTATCAATTAAATTCATGATAATTAACAGACACATCTGCGGATGAAAATTAAAGAAAAATTTATTACTCAATAACCTTAAACAAAACAAAAAATTTCATGAATACTCATCAATATAATTTTTAATAATCCATTAAAATGTCAAAAAATGCGTTATTAGCAAGAAAATAACAAATATTGTTTCCGCAAGTTTTAAACTAATAACTCATTGAAGTACAATGGATGTTTTTGATGCGTAAAACGGCTATTGTAAGTATGACGAATGATCATTTCTTGTCTGCACCAATACTTTGAGAAAAGAAATATATAATGAGAAAATAAATCTTTATTAGCTGAAGAGTTTTTATAATTTTATTTTAATTTGAATTTTAATTATTTTTTAATTTGAATTTTTATTAACAACATCTTGTGAAGCCACGCGTAGATTTCGTAATTAGAACTTCGGTCGAGTGACGACACTGAATTCTCAATTCCCACTCCAAACTTTCCCATCATGCCAACATGAGAACCAACGTGAACCTCACAGATTTAACGAACATCACCCCCTCTACACGACAGTTTTAAGTGGCACCAGGAGCCACACTTTATTTTGAGATTATATATATATATATATATATATATAAAATATATATATATATATATATATAAGAAATATATATATATATATATATATATATATATATATATATATACAAATATACCACAAAAGTGAAATTGTAACGCCATGAACATATACACGTATCTATAAGCAAATTACATGATAGGTAGAGGTGAAAAATATATACATGTGATTAAATTTCCATTCACATCTAGTCGCATGATAGCCAATTTTGGGTTATGAAAGACCGTAACTGGTTCACTCCGTTAATGCCATCAGGAATGTAGCATAGAGTAGATTGAAAGAGCGTAGGATATGCCTCAGAAATGTTAGCGAGCAGTAATACCAGTAATTATTGTCAACAGAACAAGACCGTATTCTGGAGTTGCATGGTTTGTCGATGCATGCAATTATCACTAGTGTTGGACAGGATGTGAATACAATTCAGCTATGTGAGGCAAAATAAGCACAGTATCATCTGAGAACATGTCAGTGAGGCAATGGATCACACAGATGCACAACAGATCGTTCTGAACGGCAGATTCTCCGAAGGGTTCATCGAGATCTGTTTAACACGGCACATTACTTTCAACACCAACTACCATCATCACAGGGTGCATCTGTCAGCAGATTAATCATCCGCAACAGGTTGCATGGGGGACAGCCAGCCACTGGAGTTCTTTTAAGTAATCAGAGCAGAGTTGCATACCTGATGGTGTCAACATTAACCCCACTGGACCAACGAATGGTATCGGGTACTATTTTCAGATTAATGCCAGTTTTGCTTATAATGGTTGTCGGTCATGGACGGATGCGACGATGCCCAAGGGAACGTCAAATGCTAACCCATATTATATAGCAAATCTCACCCTTCACGATATACTGTGGCATCAGGTTCGAACAGATGAAGTCCCTCACGCACATTCTGGCAGTTTAACATTAGACATGTATGCTGCCAAAGTTCTTTTGCTAATGGTTCAACTATTGTACAGGTCAACCCCAGCACGTTATTTCGTCAGGACAATGGCCATCTCATGTCGCCCTACAACCTCTCAATAGCTATAATTGAACCGGCACTGCCGGTGTGGGTACCACATTAAATACTGAACAAGTAGCCCTCTTGTTTATATATGTCTTTGTATTATTAGTCATTTGCATATGAATTTACTTTTACCATTTACGTTATTTTCTCGCATTTCTTCAAGATGTTGTAACTTATCTTTTGAGGTGTAACCATCCTCTTGATCAACTACGGGCTTTAATTATTCAAAGTGTAAACTAGAGAAAATAACTATTAAAAAAAATTACTATGCTTTACAAAAGTAATATTTATGTAAAAGATTTTGTAATATAGAATGCGGCAAAATGAAGTGAAAAATATTCTTCGCTATAAGAATACATTCCACTCACACAGAAACCAGACAATTAACACGAATGTAAAAATTGATTGATAACACAATATTTGATTAGTATGTTTAATAATTTTGAGCAGTGGCGCACACAAAGCGGGGCCTTTGGGTCCGAACCCCCCAAGCCCTTGATTTGTTTTACGGTTTATTATAATCCTATGTACATAGAACGTAAAATTTAATAAAGTATTTGTTATTAATAATTAATTTTACTAATTAATGCTAATTATTTATCCAATAATTAATTTTTTTAGTGTTTTTTGTTCCCGAAAATCGACAAAATCAATAGAATATGTTGGGCGGTGTATTGGAGCATGATACGAGAATGGTGGACTTTCGACCCTGCCTTGAAAAATTCCTGTGTATGCCACTAATTTTGAGTAACATATAGCATACAGCATATAGTTTGACAATCTTGCACATAATTGAATTCAATATGTTCGTGTGATACTTTGTGGTGCTCGGGGATTTTATAATTGTTTTCAATAAAAAAAATATATATATGATTTTTTAAAAATCAATACAAGTA